CCCCATCTCTCAATTCTGTTCTGTTAACCTCCCCAGGCCACTTCCCACCCTTTATCCTATTTAGACTCCATTCTTCCTTGGCCAAGTGGTCCAAATTCATTCAGGCAGGACCTGCATGTTGCTGTTTTGGGGTTCCAGAACCCCTAAATCTCAATAGGAGGGGGTTCCACTGATAAATGGCCTTTTGTGTGAGGAGAGATAGTCCATGAAAGCAAATGAGAACTTTACACTAGATCAGGCTGAGGGAATTCAGAGCCTGAAAAGTCTACTTGTCCTAGGAGGGGGGAATTAGAACCCCCAGGGAAACTGGCCCCTGGAGGAATAGAAGAATATTGACACAAGGAGGAGAGTTCTAGGCAAATATGGAAAAAAAGGTCAACAAGAGAGAATATGCATCAATGGTGGGCTATATAAGCAAAGACATGGTAGGAGAGGGGCCCAATGGGGCAGTGTCTTCTGACACTGTAATGACTGGCATTGTTCTGGAAGTCAGACATAGGAAAAGGAGAATCTATGGGGTAAGCCTTATTATTCAGTGGCAGAAAGCACCTAGAGGGGTGAGCCTAGAATGGATACCTTAGAAGCTTTGACTGCATGAGGAATACAGAGAAAAAAGAGGTACCAGATAACTAAAGCAGTCATAAATCAGAGAATGAGAGCCTAGAGTAAAAAGAAAGAGAAGTTGGATAATGAAAAAGAGGTACAAAAAAATTAAATGAAAAAAGCAAACAAACAGCTGAAGGATAGGAAGGGGAAATCTACTTGACTGAGAGGAAAAAAGAGGGGAAAGAAACATATGATCAGATAAAAACAGGCAAAAAAGAGGAATTAATAAATAAAACCCTAAAGGGAAAGGGGTAACAAATGAGAAAAGAGGATCACGGGTGAGAAGCGAGGTAGAACAAAGCGACCTTAAAGATTAAAGCACTTAGCACAGTGCCTGGCACATAGGCATTTAATGTTTACTGAACTGAAGTAAAGTAACAGAAGAAAAATAATACTGTGTTTAAAGCAGAAGAGGGAAAAAATCATTACCTGAAAAAAATTTTAAAGACAGATTGAGGAAAATATAAACCTAACTCATAACTTTAAATGTGAATGGATTAAACAATCCAATAAAATGAAAAGGAGTGATAGATTGGATAAGAAAACAAAACCATGCAATCTATTCCTTAATCTGAAAATCTTCTACACAAACATTAATGCATCTAGGATAAGAAGAGAAGTGGTTGAATGGGAAAAAAAATTTTTTGTATCAAATTTCTCTGACAAGGGTTTGGTATCCAAGATAAATAAACAATTATACAAACATACACACACCCCTATATAAATACAAACATATGCATATGTGTAAGAGTATGACGGCTTATAACCATTCCCTAGTAGCTAAATGGTCAAAGGATAACAATAATTGACAAAAGAAAAATTGTAAAGTATTCACAAACACATTAAAAAAATGCCCCAAATCACTAATAATGAAATTCAAATCAAAACAATTCTGAGGTTTCAACTCACACTCTGTAAACTGACAAAAATGCAAATAAAGTAACTAAAATGGCCACAGCCTTTAAACCAGAGTCTCTGTTATGGACTTCTATTCTGAGGAAGTTATCAATAAGAAAAAAATCCCCCATCTACTTCAAAATATTTAAAGCAGCACTGTGATACCTAAGAATTGGAAACAAAGTAGATGTTCATCAAGTGAACAATGGCTAAACAAAATGTGGTACAGCAATGTAATGGAATATTACTGTGCCGTACAAAATGGTGTGATGACTACATAGAAGCATAGAAAGATCTATATGAACTGATACAGAGTAAAAAGAGCCAAGAAAAAAAATACACACAGTAACTACAACAATGTAGAGGTAAGGAACAACAGACCAAAAAAAGCAAAAATAAATTCATCAAAATTATAAAGATCAAGCAGGGCTCAAATAAAGAGATATATGAGAAAATACCCCCAACATACTCCTTTGCGGAGGTGGGAGGTTCACAGGTATTGCCATTGTCCATGTTTTTGGACTTTTTCAATGCATCAATCAGCTACACTTTTTTTTTCTCATTAAAAAATGTCTTCTAGCTTCAATAATCAAGCATTTAAATAATTTTTACATAAGTAACATTTCAATCTCCTGACAACAACCAATTTTTCAATCTCATTTTCTTTTGCTGTTCCTTTGTTAGCTGGACGTGAAAGAGTATTTTTCATACTTTCATGAGGCATGTAGGAGACACAGTAGATAAAAACACTAGACCTGAAATCAGAAAGACCTGAGTTCAAATCCAGCGTCAGATACTTACTATCTATGGGACCCTAGACAAGTCACTTAACCCATTTGCCTTAGTTTCCTCATCTGTAAAATGGAGATAATAATAGCACCTACCCCCCAGAGTTCTTACGAGATCAAATTAGATAAGCATTACAAAATGCTTAGCGTAGTGCCTGGCACATAGTTGGCACTACATAAATGTTAGCCATTATTACTATTACACTAATATTTTATTTTTAGGCTTTGCTCAATTTGCTACAATTTTACGTTCAAATTATAATTAATTAGGGATTGATATTTCTGCAAACATCATACCATTCCACAATTTTCTCCAAATTCTTTTTGATGTTTTTGCTTTTAACAACATCTAAGGACAAGAAACAATAAAGATTGCATTGTCTATATCTGTAATGGTGAAGGTTTATTCCACTGGTAGTGAGTGAATTAAAAAGAAAAATATCAATTGTGAGTCACATAAGTAAATACTATCTAGTTAATCTGGGCAAAATAAATCAACATTTCATTCATCTGCTTTTTTTTCCCCTCAAAACAGGAAACATGAGGCTGCAGTCAAGAAAAATAACAAAACACATATGATACTTCAATAATGCATTATGGCAAGAAATAAATAAATTAAGAAAACAAGAAGAGAAAGAAACAGAAACAGAAAAACAGAGGGACAGAAAAGACTTTAAGAAAGATACAGACATACACACGTATAAACATCAACACTAAGATTCAAACACTTAGGGAGCATCATTTATTTTTTTAGAGCACTGACACTAAAGACTTTCACGGGCTTGTTGCAATTTAGTAAGTAAAGGTACAAATGGGTACAGCATCTCTTTGGACTCGCCCTCAGAGAACGGATGAAACTAGATTCAAGAGGCAGTGGCTCATAGGTTCTCCACCATTATTTTGTTTTAACAACTAACATTCTGTATGATATCTGCATGACAGAATAATGTGGCAAATAATCCATTCTATAACATTTCCATGATTGTCATGAATGAGACATTGATCTTATTTCAGTTTGTTTGTTTTTTCAAGTTTACATCTCCTTAGTACCTACTGAATAAACAGCACTGTTTTCCTATTCTGAAGTAGGTCTCATCTTTCGGGGTTGGTTAGCTTCTGATGGAGGCACAGAACAGTAGGGCTTGCACTCCATTTCAGCCCAATAGAGAGAAGTGTGCTATCAGTTTTTCTCTTCTCTCAGGTTTCACTCTGATCCCTTCAGTTGTTCAATCAAGAGACCGAAATATCAATCCCTGCCATCACTGCTCCCCTAAACTATCACAAACATTTCTCTTTCCCCTCTACAACCTTCCTTCTTCATTTATTTGCAACTAAATAATTCAATTCTCTATTCTCTAGTCACATTACATCTTATTCTTATAATCGCTTCAATCCCTTGGCCAACTAATCAGAACCCTGCCTGCACCAATGGAACTTCTAAAACTGTGAATCAACTAAAACACAAGAAAACATCAAGGAGGGAGTCAGGAAGACCAGGGGTTCAAATCCTGCCTCTGATAGACAGAAGACAACCAACCACATACTAGCCACCTAACTTAGCTCAAACTTAGCATCCTCATTCATAAAATGGGATTGTCATGAGGTCCAAATGTGATAAAATATGCAAACAGAGCACTTTAAGAACTTTAAAGTAATACATAAACATTGGTCACTATCATTATCTTTCAGACTTCTGCTAATTTTGTCTTTGACTCTCATTGGCAATCCTGGGCCTTCTCTAACTTCTACTTGTAGCTACTAGATTCATAAAGATGTAGTTATTTTAAAGCTCAAGTACTAATTTAACTAAATCATTATCATATTTTATATTAGACTAAAATGAAAGCTGGGAGTAACAGTGAGAGATAAAAATATGAACAGACACTCAAACACATACTTTTATTATCCCCCAATAGTCAGGGCTCCCAAACCGCCCTTCCAGTTCATGCAGCTTCACTTTATCTAGGGGCTCTACCTGACAAGACAGAAGTGTGGATAGAGATGCCAATTCACTACAAACTGCAGTTTTGATCATGGCAACCCCTACTCGAGCATTTATGAGCTTCCCACTGCTTACAAGATAAAATTTATTTTTTATGAGGCATTCAGAGACCTCCACAACCTGGCCGCAAATCGGCCATTCCAATACGCACCGTTACGCCATCCAAACGATACAATTAACCACATAGAACACTCACTAGCCCCTCTTTGTACCTCTGTTTGTACTGCTGATTTTCACAACATGCTTCTAGTTTTGCCCAATTCCTGCTCCTCCTTTAAGGTCTAATTTAAATGGCTTCTCCTCCATGAAGTTTTCTGAAACCTTCAGAGTCATCGCTCCCTCTTCCAAGCCTACAAAGCATTTAATGCCTTTTTCCCCTTAAATTGTCATGCATAATCTTATTTTTAGTTATTTCTGTACATGCTCATATCTCTTACTACATTGTAGTATTTAAGAGTAGGGATTGTGTCTTATTCTTCTTTATCTGTTCCAAGGTACTTAGCTCCAGGTCTAACATACACTGAATAAAAATTTACTATAGTGCAAACATATTTTAAAAATGTAAAATCCATTCAAAATTAATAAATTCCTAATGGATATCCATATGAAAATGTCATTTTTGCCAAGCCAATTAAACAAATAGGATAGTCTGAAAAAAAAAAGAAGACTGGAAAAAAAATAACATTATTTGATCAAAATTTTTGTACCCTTTGGGATCCAAGAGGTCTCTAACTTTCTCATTATAGATTTCCATGTAGGATACTTCAACTTTAAAACTCTGTTCTTCATTCTCCTCTTTCTGAGTTCTTTCAAAGAGGCCACTGCAAAGCCTTGGGATTAATCCAGGTTGATCGGCTGTGCCCATCATTGTATAAGATTTTCCAGACCCTAAAAAAAGAGAAGACATGGTTATAATAATTTCTTTAGAGGGGAACAGTTTCATAGACTCACTGTTATAAAATATTTCCAGTCTATCCAAAAATGCAATGCAGGCACTCAATAAGGCTTGCTGACAAGTGATAATGATTACAAATCACAAGCTTCACTACCAAGCATATGGAAGACAAGAATTCTTAATAAAGAATAAAGATTTTCTCTAATAAAATTCACATATAAAAATAACCAAATATCACTTCAAATAAATGAAGAGTAAGGAGCCAAATTGGAGTTCCCTTTAAAAAGCCAAGAATATTTCTCAAATTGAAAACACTAAGTAGATTTTCTAAGTGTTGTTGCTTCTACCCAAAGTACAACAGCAAAAGGGAGGAGCCAAGATGGTAGAGAGAAGCCAGGAAGTTGCCTGAGCTCTCCTCAATTTCGCTCAGAAACAACATTAAATCAAGCCTCTAAAAGAATTCTAGAGCGAAAGAACCCACAAAAAGATGCAGGTAAACTTTCCAGCCCAAAATAACTTACAAGGAAAGGTGTGTCTCACTTGGATAAAAGAGAAATGCAATCCAGCACAGGCAATGTCCTGGCAAGCCAGTGGCAGGCTTTTAGCTACAGCACAGATCAACAACTGAGATGCCAAGGTCCAGGCTCAGCAGGCCAGCAGTAAGGCCTCCAGTCCCAGAGCAACAGGCAAACTGCAAGCCCCCAGAACCCAAGGCACTATGCTGGGCCAACCTAGCTCAGTGGGCAAGCCATCAGCCCCAGAGACCAGATGCAGAAAGACAGCAATCAGACCCCTGGCCCCCAGTACCCCAGGAGCAGAGCTCAACTTTTTTAAAAGGAGCAAAAAAGAAAAAAGAGCCCTGACCACAGAAAACTACTTTGGTGACAGAGAAAATCAAAATACAAATACAATGTCAAAATGCATACATGCAAAGCCTCAAAAGGAAATTTAATTGGTCTCAAGCCCAAAAAGTTCTCTTGGAAGTGCTCAAAAAGGATTTTAAAAATCAAGTAAGAACAGGTAGAAGAAAAATTTGGAAAAGAAATGAAAGTTATTCAAGAAAATTATGAAAAAAAAGAGTCAACGGCTTAGAAAAGGAAGCACAAAAATTGACTGAAGAAAATAATCCTTAAAAGACAGAACTGGCCAAATTGGGGTGGGGTGGGAGGGTGGGGGGAGAAACATTGAAGAAAATAAAAGCAGAATTGGCCAAATGGAAAAGGAGATAAAAAACTTAACTGGAGAAAATAATTCTGGGGCAGCTAGGTGACACAGTGGATAGAACTCCAGCCCTGGTGTCAGGAGGACCACCTGAGTTCAAATCCGGCCTCAGATACTTGGACACTTACTAGCTGTGTAACCCTGGGCAAGTCACTTAACCCCAACTGCCTCACCAAAAAGCAACAACAAAAAAATTCCTTGAGAATTAGAATTGGGCAAGGAGAAGCTAAAGACTCTATGAGACAGCAAGAATCAGTCAAACAAAATCAAAAGAATGAAAAAAGAGAAGAAAATGTAAAATACCTTATTGGAAAAATAACTGATCTGAAAAATAGATCCAGAAGAGACAATTTAAAAATTATTAGACTACCTGAAAGCCATGATCAAAAAAATTATATATATATACTAGACAGCATCTTTCAAGAAATTATCAAGGAAAACTGCCCTGATGTCCTAGAACCACAGGGTAAAATTGTCATTGAAAGAATCTACCAATCACTTCCTGAAAGAGATCCCAAAATGAAAACTCCAAGGAGAAAGTACTAGAAGCAGCCAGAAAGAAAACAATTCAACTATCAAGGAGCCACAGTCAGGATTACACAGGACTTAGTAGTTTCTACATTAAACGACTGGAGGGCTTAGAATATGATATTCCAGAAAGCAAAGGAGCTTGGATTACAACCAAGAGTCAACTATCCAGCAAAATTGAGCATAATCTTTCTGGGGAAAAGATGAACATTCAGTGAAATAGGAGACTTTCAAACTTTCCTGATGAAAAGACCAGAGCAAAACAGAAAATTCAATCTTCAAATACAAGACTCAAGACAAGCATAAAAAGGTAAACGGCAAAGAAAAACAAAACAAAACATGTTATTCAATAAGGTTTAACTGTTTACATCCCTACATGGGAAGATGATATTTGTAACTCTTAAGAACTGTATCTCTATTAGGGCAGTTAGAAGGAGTATACTTAGAGGGTGTGGATATAAGTTGATTTTGACGTGGTGATAAAAAAAATTAAGGGGAAAAAAAAAGGACTGTACTGGAAGAACAGGAAGGGAAGGTAGAATGGGGTAAATTATATCACATGAAGAGGCATGAAAGACCTACTAAAGTAGAGGGAAAGAATGGAGAAGGTGAGCATTGTGTGAACCTTACTCTCACTGGACTGGGCTCAAATAGGGAATAATATACACACTCAGTTGGGTAAAGAAATCTATCTTACCCTATAGGGAAGGAGGAGGGGAAGGGAATAAGAGATAGAAAAGTATAAATGGGGAAAACAGGATGGAGGGAAATACAGAATTAGAATCCATAACTATGAATGTGAATGGGATAAATTCTCCCATAAAATGGATAGCAGAGTGGATTAAAAAACAGAACCCTACAATATGTTGTTTACAAGAAACACATCTGAAGCAGAGAGACACACACAGATTAAAGGTAAAAGGCTAGAGCAGAATATATTATGCTTCAACTAGAGTAAAAAAAGCAGGGATAGCAATCCTGATCTCAGACAAAGCAAATGCAAAAGTAGATCTAATTAAAAGAGACAAGGAAGGAAACTACACCTTGCTAAAAGGTACCATAAAAAAAAAAGGTACCATAGCCAATTAAGTAATATCAACATTAAACATACACGTACCAAGTGGGATAGCATCCAAATTTTTAGAGAAGTTAAGTGAGTTACAGGAAGAAATAGACAGCAAAACTATATTAGTAGAGTACCTTAACCTACCCCTCTCAGAACTAGATAACTGTAAACACAAAATAAACAAGAAAAAAGTTAAAGAGGTGAATAGAATTTTAGAAAAGTTAGATATGACAGACCTCTGGAGAAAACTGAATGGGGATAGAAAAGAATATATCATTTTCTCAGCAGTGCATGGCATCTACAAAAAACTGACCGTGTATTAAGGCAAAAAACCTCATAATCAAATGCAGAAAGGCAGAAATTTTAAATGCATCCTTTTCAAATCATGATGCAATGAAAATTAAATGTAATAAACAGCCATGGAAATATAGATCAAAAATTAATCTAATCCTAAAGAATGAGTGGGTCAGTGAATAAAGCTCTGGCCTTGGAGTCAGGAGGACTTGAGTTCAAATTCAGCCTCAGACATTTCATACTTACTAGCTGTGTGACCCTGGACAAATGACTTAACCCCCCGACTGCCTCACCAAACAGAAAAAAAAATGAGTGGGTCAAACAACAAATAATAGAAATAATCAATAATTTCATGAGAATAATGATACAATATACTAAAATTTATGGGATGCAGATAAAGAAGTACTTAGAGGAAATTTTATATTTCCAAATACTTACATGAATAAAACAAAGAAAGAGTAGATTAATGAATTGGGCATGCAATTTAAAAAGCTGGAAAAAGAACAAATTAAAAATCACCAATTAAACACCAAATTAAAAATTCTGAAAATAAAAGGACAGATTAATAACATTGAAAGTAAGAAAACTAACTAATATATAAAACTAAGCTCGCTTTGTGAAAAAAACAATGAAATAGATAAATCTTTGGTTAATTTGATTTAAAAAAAGAAAGAAGAAAAACAAATTACCAGTATCAAAAATGAAAAGAGTGAATTCACCACCAATGAAGAGGAAATTAAAGCAATTAGGAGCTATTTTGCCCAACTGCATGCCAATAAATCTGACAATCTAAGTGAAATGGATGAATATTTATAAAAATATAAATTTCCCAGATTAACAGAAAGGAAATAAAATACTTAACCCTATTTTAGAAAAAAAAATTGAACAAGCCATCAATGAACTTTATAAGAAAAAATCTCCAAGGACAGATGGATTTACAAAAGAATTCCACCACATATTTAAAGAACAATTATTTCGAATACTAAATAAACTATTTGGAAAAACAGGTGAAGAAGGAATCCTACCAAATTCTTTTTTATGACACAAATATGGTGCTGATACCTAAACAAGGAAGAGGCAAAACAGACAAAGAAAATTATAGACCAATTTCCCTAATGAATACTGATGCAAAAACTTTAAATAAAATATTAGCAAAGAGATTACAGCAATTTATGACCAGGTAGGATTTATACCAGGAATGCAGGGCTGGTTAAATATTAGGAAAACCATTAGCATAACTGACTATATCAATAACAAAGCCAACAGAAATTAGATGATTATCTCAATAGATGCAGAAAAAGCTTTTGACAAAATACAGTACCAGAAATAAATGAAGCTTTTTTTAAAATGGTAAGTAGTATCTATCTAAAATCATCAGCAAGCATTATCTGTAATGGGGATAAGCTAGAAGGCTTCCCAATAAGGTCATAGGTGAAAAAGAATGCCTATTATCACCACTATTATTCAATATTGTACTAGAAATGTTATGTTAGCTTTAGGGAAAAGAGAAGAAAAAGAAACTGAAGGAATTAGAATAGGCAATGAGGAAACAAAACTATCACTCTTTGCAGATGATATGATGGTATACTTAAAGAATCAACTACTTGAAATAATGAACAACTTCAGCAAAGTTGCAGGATATTAAAATAAACCCACACAAATCATCAGCATTTCTATATATTACCAACAAAGCTCAGCAGCAAGAGATAAGAGAAATTCCATTTAAAATAACTGAAGACAGTATAAAATATTTGGGAGTCTACTTGCCAAGACAAACTCAGGAACTATACAAACACAATTATAAAACACTTTTCATACAAATAAAGTCATATCTAAATAACTGGGAAAATATCAATTGCTCATGGTTAGACCATGAGCTAACACAATCAAAATGACAATTCTACCTAAATTAATTTATTTATTCAGTGCCATACCAACCAAATTACCAAAAAAATTATTTTATAGGCTAGAAAGAATAATAACAAAACTCATCTGGAAAAACAAAAGGTCAAGAGTATCAAGAGAATTAATGGAAAAAAAAATACAAAGGAAGGTAGCCTAGCCATACCAGATCCAAAATTGTATTATAAAGCATCAATCATCAAAACTATTTGGTATTGGCTAAGAAACAGAGTGGTGGATCAGTGGTAGATTAGGTACCCAAGACAGTGGTCAATGACTATAGTAATCTACCATCTGATAAACCCAAAGACTCCAGCTTCTAGGATAAGAACTTATTATTTGACAACAACTGCTGGGAATACTGGAAAATCGTATGGTAGCAACTAGGCATAGACCAGCATCTTACACTGTATACCAAGATAAGGTCAAAATGAGTGTGTGATTTAAACATAAAGGGTAATACCATAAGCAAATCAGGAGAGCAAGGAATAGTTTACCTCTCAGATCTACAGTGAAGGGAAGAATTTATGACTAAACAAGAGTTAGAGGACGTTATGAAATGCCAAATGGAAAATTTTGATTATATTAAATTAAAAAGGTTTTACACAAACAAAAACAATGCAGCCAAGATTAGAAGGAAAACAGAAAGCTGGGAAAACAATCTTTACAGCAAGGGTTTCTGATAAAGGCCTCATTTCTCAAATACATAGAGAACTGAGTCAAATTTATAAGAATATAACTCATTTCCCAATTGAGAAATGGTCAAAAGGATATAACAGGCAGCTTTCAGATGAAGAAATTAAAGCTATCTACAATCACATGAAAAAATGCTCTAAATCACTAATAATTAGAGAAATACAAATTAAAACTACTGTGAGGTACCACATCACACCTATCAAATTGGGTAACATGACAGAAAAGAAAAATTATAAATGTTGGAGAACATACAGAAAGATTGGAATACTAATGCATTGTTGGTAGGAGTTGTGAACTGATCCAACCCTTCTGGACAGCCATTTGGAACTCTGTCCAAAGGGCAATCAAACTGTACATATCCTTTGATCCAGCAATATCACTACTAGGTCTGTATCCCAAAGATATCATAAAAAAGAGAAAAGGACCCACATGTACAAAAATATTTATAGCAGCTCTTTTTGTGGTGGCAAAGAATTGGAAATTGAAGGGATGCCCATCAATTGGGGAATGGCTGAACAAGTTGTAGTATATGAATGTAATGGATAACTATTGTGCTATAAAAAATGAGGGGCAGGCAGATTTCAGAAAAATCTGGAAAGACTTGTATGGACTGATGCTAAGTGAAGGGCAGCAAAACCAGGAGACCATTGTACACAATAAAAGCAACACTGTGTGATGATCAACTATGACTGACTTAGCCCTTCTCTGCAACACAATGATCCTAGACAATTCCAAAGGACTCATGATGGAAAATACTATCCACATCCACAGTCTAAATACAGATAGAAGCATACTATTTTCACTTTTTTTGTTTTTTGTTTTTCATGGCTTTGTTCTTTTTATTCTGTTTCTTCTTTCACAACATGATTAACGTGGAAATAATTTTATATGATTGCACATGTATACCCTATATCAGATTTCTTGCCATCTTGGGGAACGGGGATGAGAGGGAGGGAGGGAGAAAAAATTTTGAACTCAAAATCTTATAAAAGTGAATGCTGAAAACTATTTTTACATGTAATCAGAAAAAATAAAATACTATTTACAAAGTACAATAGCAGAAGTTGTCTTCCCATAGGTCACCGGACAAACCACACCCTTCCCCCCCACACACAACTACCCCTAACAACAGTAAATGATTACAGAATCATGAAGAATAAAGAATGAATTATAAGATACAATGTTACAGCAATCATTAATTTGCTTGAAACCAAAGATAATTTCCTGTTTACCACAAAAATTTATTAAGCTACCTAGTATTTTTGATTAAATCAGTAATGATCACAGTTACTGGCTATGCAACATTAGATGTATCCTGTTATAGATAGATAAAGGTGTGCTGAACCATAGGTTAGGCTGGGGTGGCAAGAGAAATTATAGTTTCTATGCTTTCATGTGGAAAATAAATTTTGCCATCTTATCTTTATAATGAAATGCTATATGGGCTAAAAAAGGAAAATAACTTTTCCTTTCTTATATATCTCTCTAAAGAATAACACTGCCTAATTTTGTCTATATAATTAAACAAACATGTTTTTACTTCCTCTTATCCTGTTTGCTCATGAAATGTCACGTAATAGCCTTACCAGTTTGTCCATAGGCAAAGATACATGCATTGTAGCCATCAAAGGCATTCTGAAGGATATTTTCTCCAAGGCACTGAAAAACAGCATCTTGACCTAATAAAAGCAAAAAACCAAACAATTCTAAGTGAAATCTACATCTGAACAAGCTAAAAAAGTCACAGAAGGCAAACACAGTTAATTTCTATGCCCAAACAGGATTCAAAACATACTTTTAATGGGTTCACAGCCTCCAGTTTTTTCTAATATTAATCCATGAAAGAAAATGAATGAGAAATAACCCTAGGACCAGAAGCCTGGAAATCTTTCTAACAATTACAACTGTCCAAAAATGGCACGTGTTGAGAGGTGGTAGACTTCCCCTCTCGAAAATCTCAAGTAGACATTGGACAACCTCCTGTTGGGTATGTCATAGAAGTGATTCAATTATCTGAGTTGGACTTGATGATTACTGATGGCTCTTTCAACTCTAAGATTCTGTGGTTAAGTTTCTATGACCTAAAAATATAAATAGCTTTTATTCAGAGCATTCTGGGTAGGGCCAAACTGCTTAAGAATTTTGCAGTCTTGGTCTCTCATAAGAGAATAAAATGAAATCTTAAAGCCAATTAGAAAAGGATTACATAAAAGCAGATTATGCTAAAGAGATGCTATACTAAAGAAAATTCTTTAAAGCCTTTGCCACCTTGGCAAAACTGAATGGTAATGCCACATTTCCAGAGTTAAGAAGTCAGAAGCAGTTGAAGTTAATAGCTAGAAGTGACGCTGGTTGTGCTTTCTTACCAATATACGTTCTTGAAGTGTTTTGTTATGCCTTTGTATTTTTAATGTATATTATGTGCTCACATTAAAAAAAGACAGAGGTTATGCTAACAAATTAGGGTTAAAAATTAAAGTTGTAGCCCTAAATTTATGGTTAGAAGGACCTGAGATAATCCATGTTTGTTGGAAGACTAGATTTTAGCACAAGAGATTTCTGTAAGACCACCTCCCTAAGAAGCTATCTTGTGGCTGTGTGCTACTATTCACAAGGAGAACCAGTAAAACTGAATTGACAAGTGCCAAACCATTACCACTGCCAAGAAAACAATGTGCAGGTCTTGCTTTATATCACAGCAACAAAAAAGTTTCACAGAATCACAGAAGCTCGGCTGGAAGACCTCAGAAGCCGTACCCGGACAAGAAGTAATAATTTAGCCTTTGCATAATTAGTGAGCGCAACAGATGAAGATCAAAGGAGCAATGAGAAGGTACAGTCAGACAGGGGGTAGATAATGCATGTATACCCCTGAAGTCTGCTCTCTCCAGAAAAGAACCTAATAACTCCTGAGGGAGCCCATTCCATTTCGGAAAGCCCTAATATTTGGCTACTTTATAACTTCTTCCATTGCCTTCAAGGAAAATAAGCCTAATAATCTTTGCACATAACAGGCATTCAAATGCCTGAACACAACTATCCTAGATCAATCAATGAATCCACAAGCATTTATTAAATGCCAAGCACTGTATCAGTCCCTGGAGAAACAAAGGTTCAAAAAAAAAAACCAACAGATCACGTTCTCAAGGAGCTTACATTTAATCAAAGAAACAGTGGAAAAGGTGCATGATTTGAATTCTGCTACTACCACTTGCTCCTCTGTGATCCTCATGAGGTTACAATCTCTCTAGGTCTCAATTTCCTCATCTGTAAATTGAGGGGGGGTTGACTGGATGATCTTCTAGAACTATGATCCTAAGTATATGTGATCCTAAGTATATGTGTGCATATGTATAAAGAATAAGTACAGAACAAATAAAAGTTGGTAAAAGAAAGGAAGACAGGTACTATCAGGAATGAAGCCCCACAAAGTTTTTGTGTGGATGGTGGTGCCTGAAGAAAAGTGAAGGAATTCTATGAAAAGGAAGGAGTCTATTCCAGACGGAGAGACTAGAAATGGAGTGCTATGTGTGATGCACGGAGAAAAGGCTCATCTGGCTGCATCCTAAAGTACAGGAAGGGGACTAATATATAATCAGGCTGCACAATCGGTTGAGGTCAGGATGGGAAGGGCTTTAAATGACAAACAGGAGTTTATGTTTTATTCTCCATGCAATATGTAGCAGAGGTCATTTAATATAGGAGTGATGTGAGCAGATATAAGCTTAGGGAAAAATCAATTAAGCAGCCGTGTGAAGGTTTGAATAGGGAAAAACTTGAGACAGGGAGACTAATTAGGAGGCTTATGCAATAGTCCAGGAAAGAAGTGATGACAATGGTGGCTGTGCGAGTGGAGAGATGAATACAAGAAATGTTGTCAAGGTAAAAATCACAAGATCTGGCAATGTAATGAGCATGTGAAAAGAGTGAAATGTGAAGGATGACACCTAGGTTATAAATCTGGATGAGTGAGAAGGATAATGCTGCCCTTGACCGTTGTAGCAAAGTTCAAAAAAGGAGTGAGTTGTGTGTGGGGAACATAATGAGTTCTGTTTTGGACATGCTGATTCTGAAATACCTACAGGGCATTCAGTTCAAAATATCCAGTAGGCAGTTGGTGATACAAGACTAACTACAGGAAAGAAATAAGGGCTGAATGTATAGTTCTGGGAAACATCTGCTTAAGAGATAATAATTGAACTCCTGAAAGCTAAGAAGAAAACTTCAGCTCATCAAAACTTTCTCCATCACCAAGCGAGAAAATACAACAGAGAGGGGAAGAGGTCCAGTATAGGGCCTGGGGGACACCCACAGTTAGAAGGTGTGACACGAATGACAATCTGTCAAAGCAGAGTGTGAAAGTGTAGTCAGACAGTTCGGACAAGAAACTGAGGTGTAGCCCCTAAGCCTCCTGTCTCCAGGCTACATGTTCTCACTTTCACATGGCATGAACTAGAGGTCTTTCATCCTCCTAGATGTCTTTTCTGAATGCCCTCTAGTTTATTAATGCCCTTTCTAAAAAGTAGTCCTCAGAACTGAATTAAAATACTCAGATGTGATCTGACCAGAGTCAAGAACAAGAAAACTACAACTTTCTTCTTTTGGAAATTATGGTTCTCAATGCAGATTAAAATCAATTTAGCTTCTCTGCCCCCCACACTGCACTCATGAAGTTGATTGCTCTAAAATACAATTGTGAGCCTTTACCTCTCCAAAATCTTTCAAAGATCACTGTGGAGGCAATAGTCACGTCAAATAATTCTTTCAGTACCTTGGGATATAGCTCAGCTGAGCCTGGTGATTTGAACTCATCAAGGGCAATAAGGTACTGCTACCTCCCTAGATCAACACAGCAACTCTTTTTTTTTTCTGAAATTTTTTATTTTTTTATTTTTAGGCAATTGGGGTTAAGTGACTTGCCCAGAGTCACACAGCTAGTAAGTGTCAAGTGTTTGGTCTGAGGCCACATTTGAACTCGGGTCCTCCTGACTTCAGGGCTGCTGCTCTATCCACTGTGCCACCTAGATGCCCCACACGGCAACTTCTTAATAGCCATCTCTGTCTTTTCCTTTACAATCCAAAGATTCTGTTTCCTTTAGAAACAAAGCAAGATTTGAATAGCTATGTTTCCTCTCTGCTTCTGTCCCTCTATCTGTCTCTCTTCCATTACAATTAACCCATTTACCCTGAGCAGGGATTCTACCCTCTCTTTGCTCTTTCTTTTTCTTCAAAAAGGATTAAAAATAAACCTGCCCCTTCTTATTGCTCTTGACTTCAGCATGCCCAACACTACAATTACACATCTTTGCTATTCCTGATTTCCCATTTCTTGCTTCCATCTTCTGAAGATATCTTTTAAAAGTTTAAGTTGTTTGATGACTTCCTTAAACATCCACTGGTTTCATTACACAATTCCCATACCTTCCCTTACTCCCCCCCTTCCTTTTCATGAAAATTATTTCTCACATTTTTGGAATTTCATTCTCCATAGTATTCCAGACCCCCAAAGCTAACTTCCCTTCATAGAATTTCAGGCCATGGAATCTGAATTATACCTAGTTATAAAACTGATTTTTTAAAATTCAAGTGTGAGATTTAACTCTCCATCATATGTGTGTGTATTTTAGATAGGTAGATACATAGATACATGGATGGACAGACAGACAGACAGACAGACAGACAGAAACAGATATAGATATGGAAAGGTATTTAGTGAAATAGCGTGGAAATGAAATTACCAATAAAACACTGTTCCCAACCTGCCTCTCCATAAACCAAGAGTACTTTCTTTTAAACATACACTATGAATAGAAAGAGTGGACACGTAGGAAACATACATGAGTTAGTCAATAAGTATTTATTAAATGTTTACTATGCCAAGCACTATGCTAAGTGCTAAGGATACAAAGAAAGGAAAAAAGTATAATCTCTCCCCTCAAGGATCTCATGTTCTAACAGTGGAAGAAAACATGCAAATAACTATGTCTCTACAAGATATATACGTGCAAATAAAAGGTAATCTCAGAGGGAAAACACTAGCAGTGGAAGGGACTGTGAAAGGCCTGCAGGAGTGATAGGTGGAGTTTGATCTGAGGTTACCAGAGAAGCCAGGAAGAGGTGAAGAGGAAAAGCATTCCAGGCCTGGAATGCCCATGCGAGCACATGGCCAAAGTACAGATGGAGAGGGGCATGTAAATAGGAAGCACATGTAATCAGGATGAGTATACAGAGGGGAAATCTATGTCTCTTGTGCTGTCAGACTATGAATGTCTCCTGGTGATGTCATCACGCTGCCCTGCCTAAGCCTGACTCGAACCACTGGTGATGCTCGTGACCACTCAGCTGGGTGCAGCTCTGCTGGTCTTGTGGTGGATTCTCAGCATTTCATTTCAGCTGGGTGTGTAGCTTCCTGCCACTACACTCTGATATTCATCCCTTCTAGGATTCTACTTCTGGTTTCCGTGGAAGAAAGTTGTGCAAAGAGAAGGAAAGGAGGCCTTGAGCTTTTTATACTTTTCTTCACTCGTGTATTTGAACTTCAAAGTTTTTCCGCAGCTGGGGTCTTTTCACCAGGAATGCTTACAAGTCCTTGATTTCATGAAAGGTCTATTCTTCCCCCCTGTCAGATCAGTTTTGATGGGTAAGTTATTCTTGGTTGTAGGCCCGTATCTTTTGCCTTCTGGAATTCCAAGTTCTCCACTCATTTATAGGGATGGTTTCTAAATCATCTGTGATCCTGACTGTGACTCCTCAGTCCTTGAATTGTTTCTGGCTGGCTGCTTGCAGTAATTTTTCTTTGATCTGGAAATCTGAGATCTTGGCCATGATGTCTTCATTTTGGGGTTTCTTTAGGGAGGTGACTGGTAGACTCTTTCTAATTCCTCTTTGCCCTCTGATTCTAAGAGATCTGGGCAGTTTTCTTTTAAGGTTTCTTAAAATGGGATGTCTAAGCTCTTTTTTTGGTCATGACGTTCACATAATCCAATGATACTTACATATTTTCTCCCTTATCTGTTTTCTGAGTGAATTGTACTCTTGCTTCATCTATCTCAGGAATTCTAGATCAATCTGTGCACATGTTATGTTTCTCTGAGGCACTGCTTGTAGGTATTTTACAGTCATACTCTTCTTCTGCACACGTCTTGAATGTCCTTACCATCATAACATTTCATTATGGTGTGGGGTCTTTTTTTTGTTTGCTCATTCTCCCAGCACATTTCCTGACTCTGAACTTGATGTCAGGGCTGGGCTCTGCCACACTTTTGGAGGGAAGGTCTGGGCTGGTCATGTTTCTTGATATATTGAGTGTTATGTTATTCCAAGGACAGGCTGGGGCCTTAGAAGCTTTCAGTACTGCTAAAGTAGTGTGATGCAGGGCAAAGTCTGATTGCTGCCCCTGAGGTCTGAGCTCTGCTACTTCCTCCCCTGGGTTTGGGTCTGTGCCAGAGTAGACAGCTGCTGGATTCATCCTGCTGGAAAGCTCTGTTGGTTCAGGCTGGAAGAACTGGAGGCTCCCCTTTCATCTGGATTTCTTGCCTTGGTTATTCCTCTGCAGGCTGGGTTAGAAGACAGATGTGAGATCTTGCTTTGAGCTTGGGTTCTGATTCCCATGATCTTTCAAAAATTACAGTCAGGATAGCAGCACTTATGTCAGACAATCAGTACATCTATTAAAATCCATTTCCTATGTTCAAGTGAGCATGTCAGACTTATGTCCAAATTTCTTCTCTATCACAAATTTTAAGATGGAGTGATGACTCTTCCCTACTGCCCCAAGGTTCCCATCATTTCCTCTTCAACAACCAGTGCTAACTGATGAGAATGAGATCCAAGGTAGCATTTTCCCTCATCGGTTCTTCTCCTTTTTGAAGGCTGAAGTTATCTTTAAGGCAAGTCAGGAAACCGACAGTTGCTCTGATTTCAACAGAAAGAGAGTGAGTTCCAAAAGCTGTCTAGGTAACTGAAACTTCCCGTTTGGTAGGACATCAGACCACTGTGCCAAGCTGTGATTTATTTCCTAAATTCCTCACCTGTTTTCTATTTCTGTAAAGGCAGTCTGTAGTATACTGATGACATTCAATTCTGCTTTTGCTCTGTTGATGTTCATCCAAATGTTCTTCACCAGGGAGACCCTTGCGCTCCTGCGTTTCCTCACAAGTATGTGTGTAGGTGTGTATACATACATATCTATATCTATGTCTGTCTGTCTATCTGTCTATCTATCTATATGAAAAACACCATACTAGTCCTCTTTCTCCCCCCCCCCTTTACCCATCCTATTCTTTACTCTTCCAGAGCCATATTCCAACTAAGGGTCATAAGTCACCAAGACACAGTGATTTATATAAAAACAAACACATATAGGAGAACAAAATCAGAAGCAGGTAGGTAGTACAGTAGAATAGAGTACTGGGCCTGGAGTCAGGAAGACTCAAGTTCAAATCCAGCCTCGGACACTAGCTGTGTTCCTGAGCAGATCACTTAACCTATGCATGCCTCAATTTCCTAAACCGTAAAATTGGTACAACACCTACCTCCTAAGGTTGTTGTGTGGATAAAATAAGATAATATTTGTAAAGGGCTTTGCAAGCCTCAAAGTGCAATATAAATTCTAGTTATCAGCATTATTATTCAATGTACCACCTTGAATTAGAATAGCTTATTCACCTTACTTGCTACTCACCTTTGTGCATCTGTGTACAGAGAGCCAAACTACGTAAAAACTACAAACACACTGAGGTTAGTAGCTCCATCTTCCTATGTCAAAACTTTTAAAATTACAGGGCAGCTAGGTGGCACAGTGGATAGAGCTCTGGCCTTGGAGTCAGGAGGACCAGAGCTCAAATCCAGCCTCAGATACTTGACACTTGTTAGCTGTGTGACCATGGGCAAGTCACTTAACCCCAATTGCCAAAAAAAAAAAAACCTTTTAAAACTACAAAGGATAGATTAGAAGAATGAATTTTGATAGTTTTCAAGGAAGTACCTGGAAAGTATGACTTTTTCATTCGATCTTTCATAATGGGCATGGCAAAGTCTGACTCTCATTGGCTCCTCCCAGCATGGGTTCTCAAAGGCTATGCCCGCAAGGGGGAATCTCTGACAGATTCTGTCAAACTAGAAGGGCTCTGAGTATATCCCCAGTAACACTCAGGACTTGTCTTTCTAATATCAGAAAGGCCAAAGAGTAATGAATCAGGAAGAGAAGGAGAAAATAGCAACACTGCAAGACAATCTACTAAGGCTGAGAGAAGAGCTGTGTTCTAGTTTAAGTCGGTCCAAATCCAATAAATCACAGATCATTAAGTATAGGAGACACAGTTTAAGGACTCTATTACCTGCATATTTTTCTTTGACAGATTCATCCATAGACCAGAAGCAATGATCATAAGCAAATACCTGTTAAATAATTAAAAGTATGCATTAATAATGAAATCTTAAGGAAATGATCCCATATCATCAAAACGGGATTTGACTGCATAAAGTTAAAAGGGTCTCCATGTTTGAACACTTAATATACATAAGAATTCTACCTTTAGCAAAAAGAAAAATGTGAACTCTGTTGAGAGGAAGCTAGGTGACTGAGTGGATAAAGTGTAGGACTTGGGATCAGGAAAAGCTGAGTTCAAATTAATTCTCAAACACTTAATAGCTGTGTTACCATAGGATAATACAAGCTTCCTAGGGTTGTTGTATCAAATGTGATAGCATGTAAAGCAATTTGTAAACACTAAAGCACTATAGACATGCTAGCTATTATTATTTTTATTGGCATTGGTGGTGTTATGCCAATCAATTCAGATCTGACAAACCTTCAATATAGTTGCTACAGACCCAAACCCTGGAAATGCATGTGTGGAATGTTCTTTTGCATTAACAGCTATTAAACATCTCAAACCGGATAAACTAGACGAATATTAAACTCTCCTACTACCCAAGAGTACCACCCTCCTTCCCATTTCCCCAGGCTCCCAACCTAGGCGTTATCCTTCACTTCTCACTCTCCATCCTTTCCCCATCCAAGCAGTTGCCAAATCCCGTCATTTCTATCTTCTCAACTTCTTTTCTATATGATCCCTTATCTCCTCTTACATGGCAACCACACTATCACCTCCAACATCCGACATAAAAAGCCCTTTATCTTGATCCCTTCCTGGTTTTCCAGTCTTCTTATGCCTTACCCTCCTCTTTATACCATGGAATCCAGTAGCACCGACTTCCTCAGACCAGACACTCCTTTTCTCAAGTCTGAGTATTTTCTCTGGCTCTCCCTCGTACCTTTCCCTCCTCTTCTCTACCTCCTGCCTTCCACAAGTAGCCCTTCCAATCCTTCTGAATGCTAGTGCCATCGGATCTCATTTGTACGCAGTTGTTTATCCACTGTCTTCCCCATTAGACTGTGAGCTCCTTGAGGAGTAGGGACCATCTTTTACCTTTTTTTGTATCCCCAGTTCTTAATGCCATGCCTGGCACATAGCAGGTGCTTAATAAATACTAATTGACTGTTTCAGTCAAATTGGGGGCAGGGGTCCTCACAACACCTAATATAATGAGAAGTTTTCACCATCTGTCCATTCTACCTTTACGACATCTCTTACATCAATCCCATTCTGCCCACTAACAACAAAGTACCATGCTTCTTTAGGTCTTCATCGTCCATCATCTGGCCTATTATAATGGCCTGTCTCCCTGCCTCCAGCTTTTCCTTCTCCAGTCCTTCCTTCACATTTCTACCAAACTAAATCTTCCTGAGCACATCAATTCCCAGCTCAAACTCTTCAGCCTCTACTCTCCCTAAATCTGGAATTCTTAATCTGGGAGCCATAAAATTGTTTGTGGTTTTTTTTAATACAGACTTTAATAACTGTAGCATAATATGATTGGTTTCCTTTGAATCCTGTGTGTTTTATTTTATGCATTTTAAGACATTGTTCTGAGAAGGGGTTCAGTCTTACTAAACTGCCAGAGTGATTAAGGACATAAAAATGGTTAAGAAATCCTGCACTACAGTAAGATACAAATTCCACAGTCTGATACTGAAAACCTAGCACAATTTGATTCCAATCTAAATTTAGAGGCTTATTACTTATTAGTCCACTTTAAACAGTTCACATTCTAGCCCAACTGGTCTACTCCCTGTTTCCTGAACTTGATATGAAGGCTTCTGCTTCCTTTCAGCCATAGGCTATCCCCCATGCCCAGCATGTACTCCCTCTTCTTCTCTAACTTTCAGAATCCTTATCTTTCTTTAAGGATCAGTTCAGAGGCTATTTTTTCCATGTAGTCTTTCCTGATGATCATCATACCCTCCCACTCAATCACAACAAAAAATAAATGTTCTCTTCTTCAAATATTCCTAGAGAATCTCTTTTGACCTCATCACTACCTACTTGTTATTATACTCATCTGTGTACATTTTATCTCTTCCTCTCCCCCTTCATATATATAAGCTCTCTGAGAGCAAGAAAGGAATGTGTTATTTTCTAACTTTCTATCACCATTGTTGAACATCACTGAATGACGTTCTATGGTGCCTCAGTTTCCTCATATGTAAAATGAGAGCTGGACCATGTGATTATTGAGGTCCCTGCTAGCTAGCTCCACAATCCTGTGGATCCATGATTCCTGAAACTACTGCCCTCAGGCATCTTAAATAACAATGGTATCTTGAGTTAAACTGTCTAAGTGCCCCAAGTGGGAAACAGAAACTGTAATTGGGAAATAAATGAAAATACAACACAACATAGCTAATGTTATATGCGTTTGGTTTTTTTTTTAAGTCAATATGGCCTGCAGGAATGTTTCTATTTGAGTTTGTCACCAATGGAATAGAATATAGCACACATCCCATGTTTTTCCTAAGTATTTATTACCATACACAATTAACTTCTCCCTGACTACTAGTTGTAAACAAAAAGCCAAACTATGAAACAAGATTTTAAAAAAAAAAGATAACTTTTCCCTCTGAACTACAACTATTATGCATCACTGTTTAATTTAATTCCTGTTCTCCAGAACAAGTCTAATCTGAATACACACTGAGCTATGCTTAGGACCCAAATCCTATTAAATTCAGAACCCAGCATTAAAGGCCCTTCGCTACCTACTTCGAGTAATCAGAGAGATGATAGTCAATTACATTCCACACCTCCATCCCCCTTGATAGTGTTCTTTCCCCCATCATGAGCTTCTGATGCTAACTTCTAATTCACTTCTCCCAGGTACTCACATGGTACAAACATGAACAAAGAATGGACTTTCCCTGACTACAGCTCCTATTGCAAACTGCTACAGGTGTTTTTTTTTTTGTCAGAGACTTCTCAAAAGAATACATTTTTTCCCTTCAAGAACATTTAACAAAACAGAATATACAAAGTTTATAAACAGTTACAGTGATTTTTTCATATATTCACTCCCTAAATATTACTCCAAAAGACTATCTGGCATCTCAGGTGAAAAATAACGGGAAAAGCAGATTTATGAAGGGAATCAAATCAATATCGTAGTCAATTTTTATATCTGTATATGTTACACAGTCACCTAGCTACACTTTAAAGAAAAAGTGACACAAAATAGAGGCTCATAATTATCTACTTTAAAGAAAACAGAGGAATATTGGGGGGGGGGGAACGACTTCCTGAATACTCAGGGAATTTGAAAGCCAGTCCAAGAGGAATATCTGGTTCAGATCATACTTCAGTGCAGGAAATCTCTAGGTTTCCTTCTATCTTTTGGGTATAAGACCAAGATCAAAACGTATCTCCTGGCAACTGTTGTGGGATGGAAAAGGAAGAAAGGAAACAAACATTTATTAAGCACCTACTATGTACAAGGAACTGTGCTAAGCACTTTGAAAATATTATCTCGTTTATCCTCTCAACAACCCCAGGAGATTGGTGCTCTTATTACCCACATTTTGCAGTTCAGGAAATTGAGGTTGATAGGAAGTGACTTGACCAAGGCCTTGACCAAGGTCACACAGCTGGGAGTGTCTGAGAGCAGATCTGAAGTTAAGTCTTCTTGTCTTCAGACCCTATTTTCAAAGTGCTTAGCACAGTTCCTTGTACATAGTAGGTGCTTAATAAATGTTTGTTTCCTTTCTTCCTTTTCCATCCCACAACAGTTGCCAGGAGATATATTTTGATCTTGGTCTTTATCCACTGTTCCACCTAGCTGCCTGTACAGCCACTGTTGGTCTCTATCTGTATCCTCAAAGGTTCCTAAAACCTTTCTGAAGCTTAGGGTGCCAATTACAGAGTATCTAGGAGCCACTTTTAAAGGGCTGTGTAAGAAACTACAATTCCTGAGCCCATCAGCACGAACAGAATTCATGCCAGCAGGTACTGGCAACAAACCAGCAGTGATCAAAATACAAACACCAGACTTTCCCAAATTGTCTAGTCCCTCATATGACAATTGAGTCAGTATCACACATGCAGGCTGACAACACACATCACTCTTATGTCACTGGGCTTCAGCAGGCAAACTATTAAAGAAAGTAAGAGCTATTGGGTATTTTAAAAATACAAAGAAAACAGCTTGGCAACTATCAAATGTAATCATTCCAAACATCTTACCTTTGGCTGGCCCCTGAAATTCCCAACAAAAGGGTGATCATTGGCACAAAAGAGAAAAAAGAGAAAAAAAAAATTAGTCCAGACAGTTTCTAAAGGTTAGAGAGGTTATAAACATTTACAAAAATTAATTCATTAATGAGCATTACAATGCGGAAAATATGACAGAAGTGTCAACATTAAGAAAAAATGTCAACTTCTTCAAAGAAAGTGACTGACTTAAAATAAAGAATTTATTAGTCTCTAATAACCAGTGTGAATAATCACTGATGACTGGCAAAGCCAAAAATCTGAGGTACAAATCAAAAAAGGTTTAATTGTGTAACTTTTTTCATTCTTGAATACCCATCTCTATACATTTTAAGAAAACCAAGAAGAATGCTTACTTTCCATCTTTAACTACCTCCCCACCTTTTCCCCCCAACTTTGCAATATCATAAGAATAATCAAAGCAAAATAAGGGACATTAAGTAGTTCATGGGAGTAGATCCAGAATCATCACTAACTGGTCTATCTCCAATCAGATTCTCTTTCTCTTTCCTACCTCCCCCTTAGCAGACAAAGTAAAGGATCTGCTGCCATCTGACCCAGGACAGGATGGATCCTCCCTCCCATCTATTAAAAGAGTTTAAGGAAAGGAAAAATTAAATAAATATTAATCCCTTTTCTATTACTTATAAATCATCTGCCCAATAAAATAATAAAAGCTGGAGGTTAGATTCAATTAAATCTGCCACTTATTATTCTAATTTTGGATTTGTCTACTTTAGCAAACGGTGATGAAAATATTAAATGCAAAGTTGTCAAGGTAACAGTAAAGCAGGACTCACCCAAAAGAATAATCTCAGTCTCACTCTTTTCTCCTGGCCTCGCTTCTGAGTTTTAGAATAGATATGAGCAGGGGAAAAGAGTGGATTGTGAAATATATTATACTGGGTCACTAAAAGAAAACAGAGATGGAAGAATAGGAGGCTCACAAGGTAAAGAGAGAAAGAACAAGCTGGTTATATTGGTCTCCTTGTTTTTATTTGGTTTTGGTAGTATAAGGTGGTCTACGACTGGCCAGTGAAGAGTCCAGTCCTTATTGACATGCATGGTGTGCTCTGCCTGATGTAAACCCCACACAGACTTTGAAGCATACACAAGTATTGTTTCCTGACTGCTTACCATGTGAAGAGGAACCTTTTTGGTCAGCTGCTGAGCCAGAACCAAAATGCAGACAAAAGTCTCCTAACTAGGGCAACTTTCACCTTAGTTCCCACCTGACTGATTCCTGTGAGGAAAACATACTGTGCTGTAAACCTCTGGGAAGGGAGATTATCTCCCCACCCAGGCCAAGTGTGGCCCATTATTTTTTACCTCTTTGGTGAAGGACTATGAGACTAGGTGGTGAGCCTGTGACCTTCAAATAGTCACAGAGAGGGGCAGCTAGGTAGCATAGTGGATAGAAGACCAGCCTGGGAGTCAGGCGAACCTGAGTTCAAATTTGGCCTCAGACACTTGACACTTAATAGCTGTGTCACTTAACCCCGATTGCCTTGCTCACCCCCACCCCTCCTAAAACAAGTTAACAGAGATCAGTCCACCAGAGGTCTGGTAGCCGAACTCCATGCTAGATTTTGGAGAAAACCAGGCCCTTTGATGAGGGAAGTCCAAAATGAGCTGCTTGACACAGCAAAGCAGTTGGTCAAAGGCAGCCAAAAGGGAGTGACAGTGACTATTTATTTGCTACAAAGCATTCAGAAGTTGTCTAAGTGGGGCAAATGCTTTACAGCAACTGATTTAAGTTTGAATCCATTCTCCCTAAGGATGGACCAAGGTGATATAGGAAAGAGTGTGCCCCTAGGTGTTGGGGGAAAGTGCTTTGTGACTTGCTGACAGACTTCTCAGTAAGTATTCCTTTGTAAAAGTTAACTGACATTGGTTAAGTGATGCTGGCACATTAAATCACTGGAGAGTAGAAGATATAAGGGACATACTAATGAATGATACTGGGAAGAAGACACCAGAATAGGAATTCAAACTGACAGCATCAGAGGGAAAAAAAAGCCCCTCAAGGTTTTCGGTAGAACAATGAAGGGAGAGATGCAGCTGGCAACCTTGCTTTGGGGACCCTGACTCATCAGTGCAAATGAGAATTGGAACAAGGACCTTCAAAAGATATGAAGGGGCTATAGATGTAATTCGAAGACAAGAAGTAGAAAAATTCTATTTTCCCCTATTTCTTTGGGAAAGGAAGCCAAAAAGGAAAGCACAGAAGGGCAGAAATAGGTTAAAAAACAAAACAAAACAAGACAAAAACCTGTATATCAAATGACCTTAGCTTACATGTAAAAATAAATCTCCAGAGAAATGGTCTAACACAGAAAACTTAGTTGATCCCTTTTTTTGGGGGGGGGGGTTGGCGAGGGGAGGAAAAGGTCCCACATAGGTGCCAAATAATTAAGACTTTTCTAATGATGATTTATAATAAGACTGGATTTGCCCTCAGATATGATAATTTTGATACATCTCCCTCATTACGCCCATATCCAACTAGCTGTCAGTTTACCTGACTACTACCTTAATTCAGTCACTTATCAGATAGGTAAGCTACAACAGATATAGCAGCAAACTGAGTAAGACATAGGAGGTGGCATGTGTCACTTGGGTCAAACTACTGCCCCCAACTAGATTACCACCTTGACTTAGACCAGGGGTGAGGTCACAGGTTCCCTCCCCGGCCTTAGACTGTGATGGAGACAGCACCAGGACTCTGACTCCAGTAACCCTAGGAATAACTTCCAATTAATAAAAGGATGTAATCCTGTGGAGAAGGGACTTGTCATTCTCACTACTACAACTACCAATTGACATAGCACCCTAAAAAATTCTCATATATGTCTTCCCTGGACTATTAAAATGTAAGCCTCAAGAGCAGGAAATGTCTTATTTTTCTAATCCCCCATCCTTCCCCCCCCCAGTACAATATTTCACACATAGTAAGCACTTGATAAATGATTTTTTTTTCATTCATTCACTAATTCTTTCATTCTATACTACACAATTGTAATTGACTACTAATTGGTATCCTAGTCTCTGGTCTCTACTTTTCTAATCATTCTTCACCTAGCCTCTCAGTAACGAGGAGTTTCTGTGGCCAAGGCAAGTATATAAACCAGGCTGAAGCCACCCTGTCTCCCACACACACACACTCCTCACTTCCACCTTGGCAACTTGTACTAGTTCATCTCCGTTTAGAATCCTTAAACTTTTTTTTTTAAGGCAATGTGGTTAAGTGACTTGCCCAGGGTCACACAGCTAGTAAGTGTTATATGTCTGAGGCCACATTTGAACTCAGGTCCTCCTGAATCCCAGGGCTGGTGCTCTATCCACTGCACCACCTAGCTGCCCCTAGAATCCTTAAATTTTAAAATAAAAACCATAAATTTCTTGAAAGGTCAGCTTAGGAGTTTACCTCCTTCCTGAAATTTTCAGGTCACCTCTTCTCCAATACCCCCCAACCACCAGTGTTCTCTCCTTCCTCAAATTATCTTGTACTATAATTATCTGCATATATTTTGTGTACACACATACACACACTGTAAAATGTAATCTCTTTGAATGCATGAATAGTTTCATTTTTAGCTTTGTATTCCAGTGCCTTACAAAAAGAAGGCACTTAATAAGTGACTGCTGAGTTGAATGTTTTTGAATTTCCTTACAGGCAAAGTTGTGAAATGGAATGAATTACTAACAGAGTTATATAATCCCCCTTTCCACTGGTCTTTAAAATTTAAATTATATTGTCAGTTTCAAATGATGATGTCTGTGGACCTACCTAATGGTGAGGATAGGACAAAGTGACCTATTATGGTTTCTTCCACACTCATGATTCAATGATTCACACTGTTAGCAAGTGCGTCTGCTACCATTAACATTTTCCAAAACATTTCAAATTCACTAATTTCCTCCATTCTGATTTCCAGTGAAGGAAAAGAATCATGTGTTTCTCAGCCTCCAGATATAAATTTACTATTCACAGTATTTATAAAATTGCAAATTCTGCCTCATTCATTTTCCTGGGAGGAAAAAGTTTTGCTACTTAGAATATTTTGAGGACAGCTGAAATAAAACCGTCCTCCACAGAGTGAAGATTATTCATTCTTCTCACAGGGATGTTATATAGTAAGCTCAGAAACCATAATCAAATGTCAAACTTAGATGAACACACTGCCCTGAATTCATAGCATAGTAATGAGAACTAAAACAGACCAGTAAATTAATTACAGAGCTAACTTTCCAGCTTGGGATTCTTTGACTATACAAGTGAAGCTCAAGTAACTTCTATAGCCACAAGAAACCGAAAGGTGTAATTACAGCTCTTTCAAACCCTGCCCTCAATCCAAGAGTACAGCTATAGTCCAATATAATAACACTTCCCTTATTTGGGGGTCATGCATCTAATAATCACACTTACCTGGAAATGACTCAAGCAGCAGAGTAGTATAGTGTATGGAAAAGAGCACTAGATTTGGTTTGCATCTTGAATCTGCTATTTACTACATACCTGGCCTTGAGCAAATTATTTACCTTCTTTAGCCCTCAGTTTCCTCACCTGTTAAATGAAGGTGATCCCTAAGATCTCTTCCAGCTCTAAATCTTTAGCTCCTAAGCAAAAAAGGCCTCTAAACAGCCCAAACATGGAGAAAATCTTTGCATTTTCACCTACCTACCCAGAACCTGCCCAGAATTCATGGCCCTTAACGATCTAGTTCCAACCTACTTCTGTCTAGCTTTATCTCCTACTACTCCCTTCCCATACTTTAAATTCCTAACAATCTATATTACTTGCTATCCATCATTCATGCCCAGCTCTCTCCTCTTCTATGACTTTGCTCATTCTGTCCTCCATGCCTGGGATAGACTTTTCCATCACCCATTTCCATCTGGTGAAATTGGCCCTTCCTTCAAGTCCCAACACATCACCAAGGTTGGTCCAGGCCACAGTAATCTTAGTTGTGCTTTCACAGGCCG